GAGAGAGAGAGAGAGAGAGAGAGAGAGAGAGAGAGAGAGCTGCAGCATGCAGCATGTCAGTGGCGGGGAGCACAAGGGCAGGCACTGACCTCCAAAAAAAAAAGAAGTAATTTTATTGGAATACACAAGGTTTCTCTTTTCAAAATCCGAATAGAAAGGGTACTTGTTATATTCAAATACAATGTGTACATTTTCTATTCGAGGAGCTTTGCTATTCGTGAAAAGTGCACCTGCACGGTTTCAATTTTGAAAATGGTCAAGGACCTCGGCCTCCTACGGGCAGCTACCGGTCCTACGCGGTCCTGGCCCTTGCAAGGCCCCAAAACCTCAAATGCCCACCCTCCCGACGACCACCGACGTTGAAATTTGATTGACGTTGAAATGTCTCAGGGGGAGAAAACGCAACCCTGACGGGCTGCGAACACTACAGTTCCGAGTGTAGTGGTATGGAATGGGGCCCTTAGTCCATGCTAGTGGGACCTTGTCCTAGAGTTGGGACAAGGTCCCAGTTGGTCCCACTGACCGGAACTCCTCATCTCTGGACGTCAATGATGGACATCGACGGGAAAAAAATCAATTCAGGTGGCAGTCACAGAAACCGGCCGAGAACCTTTCTCGGTCCTTTTGGCTAAGATCAAATGTAGTATCTGTTCTGATCAGTGGTCCATCGGGCCACGTGATATTAAATTAAATTTTCAGGGCTACGGAGGGGTCACAGGGGTAGGCTTGCCTACTCGACCCTTCCGGCGTCGCCTTCGTCTTGCACTGCAGCGAAGCGCGGCGCGGCCCACACACACACACACCAAAAAAAAAAAAAAAAAAAAAAAAAAAACTGACGGAGAGAAACACGCAACGAAGTGAGATGCCACGTGGCAGGACGGCAATTCCGTGGCACCACGAACCGTCGGTGGCGTCGGGCAAACGCTCGAGCTCCTTCATCACATGAAATGACCATGGTCCTCCTTCAAACTCAACACGGGAACATCATCATCTTTGTACGTGACGCAAAGATCGGTCTCGAACGGGCCTCCCTTCTTCCCCCGAATACAACGCACTGTCCTTATAGCGGTATGTAATGACTGAAAGATACCCCAAATACAGCTATAATGACCGTGCGTTGTATTCGGGGGAAGAAGGCAGCTCAGTTGGTACACCCACGAACTGTTGACATCTAGGCCGAGTTGGAATCCAGATACAATCAGAGGAGCAGAATAAACGAAAAACGAGCGAATGCATGTACCCACAGAGGAGGGCACGATGCATCCGTTACTACGAATAGCAAGGGATGCATCTTACCACTTCTCTGGGGCAGATGCATTCGTTCTCTTTTCGTCTCGACAGCCGTGTGGCGAGGCCCAATGACCCTGTGTTCCACTTGTGGGAAGACAGACAGATACAGATAGAAGACAACCAACTGGAACGAAGACACGTACGTCCACAGCTGTCCAATCCTGGGGCAAGGTCCCACTTGCACGGATTACGAGATTCTGGCCATTGATCTTTGCTATCTACGGTCAAAAAATATATCTTAATTCGTGTAAGTGGGACCTAGCCCCAGGGCAGGAAAGCGAGTGCTCTCACTGGGGGCGGCCAAGAAAGAAGGGAGGACAAGTCGCAGTCGTAGTATACGGTGGGAGTGAAAGATGAATGTGGAGAGGCAACAAGCGCCCCTGGTTGAGGACGTGTTAAAGCTGGTTCGGGACAACTTCGTCTTATATGAGCACAAGGATCGGCGCGGGGTGATAGATGCCAGGTGAGCCTTTCTTTTGCCCCTCCCATTTTCATTTTCAAGTTTCAAGAGGGCCCGCCGCGGCTACACCTGGCGGTGCAGTGCGGACAGCCATAAATGGATGGTAGGAAGTTCTCACCACAAAAAAAAAACATATATCAGGGACAGTATGTGAGAATGACCTAAGTCCCCCCCTCCCCCCCCACCAAAAAAACAAAAAGAATGAACTAAGCACATGCCCGAGAGGAGCCAGCTTCATTCAGCACAAGTCGGCGTGTGCATAGCCACAAAGAGTTCGAATGCAGATACTTGGCGACAACATAGTCGACGCACCAGCCCGACATCCCTATTCTCTCTCTCTCTCTCTCTCTCTCTCTCTCTCTCTCTCTCTCTCTTTCTCTGTGTGTGTGTGTGTGTGTGTGTGTGTGCGTGTGTGTGTAATGTGTCTGTTGTCATATTCGCTATACACTTAAAAAAAAGCATGACTGTGCCGAAGAGACTGTTTCGTCGTACTTTCACCGACTCATCAGGAGGTTGAACCTGGACAGACAGTCTTCCCAGGAAGCATTTGACTGATGGATAAGGACTCACCACATCGCCCAGAGTTAGCCATACCCATCCCTGACAGAGAAAAGTGATCGACTTTCACACCAACCTTGCAAGGTGTGTGTGTGTGTGTGTGTGTGTGTGTGTGTGTGTGTGTGTTGTTTTCTAGGGAGATAGACGAGACAAACCTCCTCACCGTTGCGTACCCAAGCAAGGGGTCAACCTCAACACTGCCATGCTGGACTCTTCAGCAGCAGGTCGTTTTTTTCCTTCTTTGTTTCCTTTTTGTGAAAGGGGGTCATTAGCCCCCTCCCTAACCGTTATTGTATATCCATTCGAGTCTAAATCGAGTCTCTCTCTCTCTCCCTCACGCACACACACCCACACACACACACACAAAGAAAAAGGTAAAACACTCAATAACGCAAATCAATACCGGGATCGCGAGTGGACTCGTGAATCAAACCCTTCCACGTCGTCCGTGTCTTGCCCCTCTCCTGCGCCACCTCGTCCTTCTCCTCCCCCTCTCGCTCTGCCATCCATCACGTCCTCCACCACCTCTTCTCGCTCCATCCCAACCCTCTCCCCCCGCTGTCCTCGTCCTCCCATCTTCTGCCACCGGCTGCTCTGTCATCACCTCCTCCTCGGCCACCTCGTCATCGTCCTCCCGTCATCCACCGCCACTTCTTCCTCCTGCTGCGCGACGTTCTCCACCTCCTCCTCTCCCCCTCCTGCGCCAATCCCTCGTTCTCCCCCCGCTTCCCCCGCCGTGCTATACACCCACGATCTTCCGAGAATCGAACCGTCGGAGTCATGACGCGGCGCCCTCTGGAAATGGAATAATATCGCGGAACACCCTAGAAAGATCCTTCCAGTATCGGCCTTCCGTATTGGACGATGGTGGAAAGATCGTTGCCAGTTCATCGAACGTGGTCCCCGTAACATCGGGGAACGATCATGGGAATATCATTGCACCAACAAAATCTGTTGACGTAAGCTCACTCTACAGTGAGACTCTCTCTCTCCCCGCCACGTTCATGAAGTACGTGTTCCCTCTGCAGAACTTCACTCCTCGGAGGCCCGGAGTGAAACGGCCTAACGAAAATTCTGCCTCCGGTCAGACGAGTGGGCACGAGTACACCGAAAGTCCCAAGCGGCATCGTTCTCGAACTTGGAGCCTCAGATGGTGGCAACGCCAGAGACTCCGCCCCCGCCCCTCCTACTTTGCCCTCCGCCTGTTATCTACGAACGTGCATCCGCTGACGGTTGTGACGTTGTCACCGCAGATATCGACGGCCTCCCTCCCTCCTCCCTCCCTCCTCCCTCCTCCTTCGTCCCGCTCATCGATCCTCCCTCGTTTGTGGTTCATCCTTCGTGCGCGTGCGCGTGCGTGTGCGTGTTCGTGTGCGTGCGTATGTATGTGTGTGCAGGTGTGCGACAGACAAAATCAACCGCCAAACTGACTACGAAAATGACAGTTCGTTTTATCCCCCTGAGGCTTTCAACGTCATTGAAATTTCAACGTTCGGGAGTGTGGGCAATTTTGAGGCGAGGGCTTAGCAAGGGGCATGGCATCTGAAGGACGGGTAGCTGCCGTAGGAGGCCGCGTTCCTTGAGTTGGACATGTCGAAATGGCCTAGGAGGCTAAATGGCCTAGCAGGCCGCGTTCCTTGAGTTGGACATATCGAAATGGCCTAGGAGGCTAAATGGCCTAGTAGGCCGAGGAGGCCACGATCCTTGAGTTTTGAACATTTCGAAATCCAAATGGTGTGTGTCCACTTTTCTCGAATAGAAGAGCACTTCGACTAGAAAACCTATGCGTTGTATTCGAATACAAAATGTACCCTTTCTATTCAAATGTCGAAAAGAAAAACTCTTGTATTCCAATAGAACATTACCTTTTCACTTGTTTTTTCGAGGTCAGCGCTTGCCCTTGTGCTCCCCGCCATTGACATGCTGCATGCTGCAGGGCTCTCTCTCTCTCTCTCTCTCTCTCTCTCTCTCTCTCTCTCTCTCTCTCTCTCTCTCTCTCTCTCACACACACACACACACNCTCTCCTCACCGTCGTTGTTTGTCTTATTGTTATCGTTGTCATCGATGGCCCAGATGCATATTTCACCTTCGTCGCCACGCTGATCACCATCCTCCATCCTCGCCGTTATCTTTGTCGTTGTTGTTGTTTTTGCAATTGTCGTTGTTGCTGTCTCTTATACACATCTAGATGTGTATAAGAGACATCTCTCTCTCTCTCTCTCTCTCTCTCACACACACACACACACACACACACACACACACACACCACCTACCTCACTCTCTCACATCCCCACACGTGCGCACACGCAACACACACATTCTCCTGTCTATTAGTGGGGAGCGGCACCTCTTGGAAACTGGGTCCAGCATCCCATGAACATCGTGAATAAAGCACCAGCCGGGACCTCACACACACCAACTCTTAGAGTTGTGTATGGCGAACATGACAAAACATACACACAGCATAGTCACTGCCTACCCTTCCCCAACCACATCAACAAACAAACTACGGACTGCGCACCCGTGCCCTCACGGTAAGCCAATACAAGAATATGGGCTGCGCACCGCTACTCTTTTTTTTTTTTTTTTGGGTCAAAAGCTCCAATCTATTTGTGGGGAGCAGCACGTGCTGGGGGAAATGGTCCCAGCGTCCCATATGAAATTACAAGCATTGAAATACTGGGTACCAGGACCGATATCCACGCTTCACCTGAGAGAATCTGAGAACAAACCAAGGAGTTTTAGAAAACCTGAGTGAACTACAAGCCGGTTAAACACAGCTCCTCATGAAAAAACCTTGCACTTCGTATGTGTGACTAGACTACCTTCTTCCCTCGAATACAATGTTCGGTCATTATAGCTGTATTTGAGGCATCTTTCAGTCTAGATCCAGCTATAATGACCATACATTGTATTCGGGGGAAGAAGGTAGGAGGGCTACTAAATCAAACCATCAATCGTACAAGTAATTAAGATCAATATAAGTAAGGCAAAAGAGGCAGTAGTAAAGCAGAGGGCAATGCTGCCAAGTGCACAACTCTTTAAATTCTGTAAATGCTGTGTTATGCAAGTTACGTTATTGGATGCTGGACCCGGTTTCCAGCAGGGGATGCTTCCCACCAATAGACAGGAGCCAATGGTAGGGCCCGGTTCCCAGTTTGTGCCAATTTGTGAGGATATGGTTGTATCTATGGGACGCTGGACCCGGTTTCCAGCAGGTGCTGCTCCCCACCAAT